ATGCGTGGGTTTTCTCCAGGTAGTCCAGTTTCCTCCCACAGACCAAAAACATGCATGTTAGGCTGATTGGTAACTTTAAAATGTCCCTAGGTGTGAGTGAGAGAGTAAATGGTTGTTTGTCTCAATTGTCTCTATGTGTTTCTGTGATGGACTGGAGACCTGTCCAGGATGTACCCCGCCTTCCGCACAGTGATGGCTGGACATGGGCACCAGTGACCCCCGCGACCCGAAAAGGAAGAAGCGAGTAAAGGTAATGGATGGATAATGGATGGATGGATGGCTGGCTGGCTGGCATTGCCAAGTTTTCATGTGAGTTAGTTTTCTGTGGCGACCTGTGAGAAAGGGAGCAGCTGAAAGAAGAAGAAAAAAAAAGAAAAATGTTGATATTAAAATTCTAAATGTAACAATTCATATGTGCTGAATTCTTAGGACTTGTCTGAAGGTGTCTAAGGCCCTGAGGGCTCCCACCTCCACTGTATATTATTAAAGATTTGACCAAGCCAGCTACAACTCTGTCATTTCTCATCAAAAAACAATCTTAGCCCAAAACGCAGGCCTAAAAGGCAATATGCATTTCTTCAAGGACTATCAGACCTTTAATGAAAGGAGTGTTCACACAGACAAGTATAAAACTTGAGATTGGAGTTGTGTTGACATGACAATAATCAATTAATCCACTTTCTTCAAAGGCAATTCAAATAGCTATCTGCAACAACTAACATAAGGATTGTTCAAATCCTTTGCACAGATACTGTAAAAGATCATACTAAACTCCTCTTTCAGCTTGTTGACATATTTTTGAACATCTGTGACTTTATGATGTTGTTCCAGTGTCTAAGATCTCAAATGACATTCATGGAGCCAGTCATACTTCATTACTCTCACAGTAAAAGCTGATGCAGCACTCAGTGAGGGCACAACACTAATTAGACTTGTTGTGATTAAAAAAGCCTTCACATTGGAAAACACAACCCCACACTTTATTCAGATGAATAAAGAACAGACTAATTTTTGATTCATGCTCTCTTTCTCTCTCTCTCTCTCTCTCTCTCTCTCTCTCGCTGCACATGTGTGTGTGTGTGTGTGTGTGTGTGTGTGTGCGTGCATGTGCGTCACCAGATCTAATACCCCTGTGGTCTTGTCTCTCAGAATGCTCCATGTCCCACATTGGGTTCTTCCTCGTGTCAGTTCTGTCAGACTGGATTTGTCTTACTGTCTCACACTGTAAGGCTACAATAAGTTATACAACCATACATTCATCTATCCATTATCTTTACCCAATTCAGGGGTAACACAGGGGTCACTGACGCTCATGTCAAGCAGTCACTTGTGCGCGGGGAGGGGGGGGGGGACAATTTAGGCACAAATTACCCTAACTTGCATGTTTTTGGTCAGTCCTCTATCTATCTATCTAGATAGGGATATAGATAGAGATTTATACACATACAAACAAGAGTGACCAAAAACATGCACTGTTGTTTGTGATAGGCCAGACAAAGAGTGATTCAGAAGACTTGTGACAGGAGCCAACATGGGGTAGAGGTATGGCAGCTGACATGAGACCAGGTTCGATCCCATTCGGTCCATGTACATTCAGGCAGTTCGTTTTTTCATTTGAAACAAAAAATGAAAAAAAAACAAAAAAAAACACACTTGTTTTTTCATTTTCCGTTTATTAAACCAAAACAAAAAATCGGATAACAAAGCATAATCCGATTTCCAATTTTGTGCACAAAACGAAAATGGAAAAAACGGATAACCAGGTCCACGGACCCCATTCCAACATGCCGTGGTCTTTCTGAGCAAGACACCTAATCCATAATTGTTCCCAGGGCGCCTACATAGCTGCCCACTGCTCCACCTGGTGTATCCCAGGTGCGATGGGTAAAATTCAGAGAACTAATTTCACCATTGTATGGGAATATACGATGACAACACATAGCACGTTGTTACTTGTACGGACAAAAGAAAGCAAGGAACTCGTTGTCCTGAGACTGAAGATAATGGATGGAAGGATATATACTGTATGTATTTATGTATGTGTGTGTGTGTGTGTGTGTGTGTGTGTGTGTGTGTGTGTGTGTGTGTGTGTGTGTGTGTGTGCGTGTGTGTAAAAATTATGTAAACAATACACAATACACATAGCACCTAGCAAAATGCCTGCCAAAATAACATCTAGCGCGATCAGTGACCATTCCAATTTCCAATGTTTCCAATGTTATTTTTGTTTCAGTGTGTGACAAGACTCCCATTCAAAAGGTATCACCAAGCATGCAGCAGATAATCAAGTCAGTCAAACCACATGCAGAGATTTATATATTTATATATGAGGAATGATTACACTTTTAGAAAAAATGATGAGCAAGGAGAATTGCTGGTATCCATATCTGACAAAACTATCAGTCTAGGACCACAAGGATACAAAACCTGCATCCAGTTCCTTGTGCAAAATTACTATTGTGTGTTTGTTTGTTTGTTTACATTTAGACAGTTGACAAACCAGAACATTAGCACCACCCATTAGGTTGTAGTGAAAACTAACTTGTGCACATCAGTGACGTGCGGTCAGATTTGTGACAGGTGAGGCAATGATTCGTCTGAAATCGAATGCTCACATATATAAAACAAAAATAGAAGTTTATATTTCAATTTAGCCTTATATGTTCCCTCTCAGGCCCTGAGATCATCTGATCAGCTGCTTTTGGCTGTTCCAAGAACTAGATTGAAGCTCAGAGGTGAGCAGGCTTTTTCAATCATGGGTCCCAAACTTTGGAACACTCTGCCCCCCATCATTACACAGGCCACTTCTCTGCCTGTTTTTAAATCTCTGCTAAAAACACACCTGTTTTCTCTGGTATTTCACACAGTGTGGTTGATTTAGTTTTTTGTTTTTCTGTTTTTTTTTTGTTTTTTTTGGTGTGCGTGTGTTTTTATCTTTTTTTTTCTTTAATGCTTTTAATTAATTTTTCTGCACTATCATGATTTTTATATATATTTTTCCATTAATTTACTCTCAATTATGTTATTGTTAAGCACTTTGGTAACAGCTGCTGTTTTAAATGTGCTTTATAAATAAAGTTGCCTTGATCCAACAAAGTTCAATCTGGTCCTCTGGACATTCAAAAAAAACAAAAAACAAAAAACAAAGCAAAAAAATCTAGAAACGTTTCGTCTCTCATCCAAGAGACTTCCTCAGTCTGAGGTGCTGTATTCAGCTCAGTCTCTTAAATAGCACCTTCTCAGAGTGGATCAACCAGTTTTGCTGCTGACAACCAAAACCAGCTGATCACATGCTCAAGAAGGACCATCAGTCTAACAATGGATCATTAGCACACTGATGGCTGTTTACTACTCACAGAGGGCTGAGTGATACTAGCAATCACAGCATTGTAAGAGGGGGACAGTTCAACCCGGAGGCCTCCACCCCTGTTTAATGATGGACGATTTCTTTTCACAAAGATGGCATCCTTTACTCCTCTCTCAAACCATCGTTCCTCTCTGTCCAGGATGTGAACATCTTCATCCCTGAAAGAGTGACCGCTGGCCTGGAGATGAGTGTAGACCGCTGAGTCCTGGCCTGATGATGTTGATCTTCTGTGCTGGTCCATCCTTTTGGCCAGTGGCTGTTTAGTTTCCCCGATGTAAGACTGACCACAGCCCTCCTGACACTGAACAGCATACACAACGTTACTCTGTTTGTGCCGGGGGACTGGATCTTTAGGATGAACCAGTCTTTGCCGTAATGTATTTTGGGGTTTAAAAGCCACTGGGACGTTATGTTTAGAAAATAAACGTCTCAGTTTCTCTGATACCCCCTGAACATACGGAATGACCACTGGTCTGAGTCTGGGTTCCTCCTTTTCACCTGATGGCTGACTGGAGTCCTGTTTGGGTTTCTTCTCTGCTTTCAGGAAGGCCCAGTTAGGATATCCACATTGCTCTAGAGCCTGTCTTGTGTGGGATTTCTCCTTCTGTCTGGCTCCTGAGCTAGTGGGGATGCTGTCTGCTCTGTGATACAGAGTCCTGATGACTCCTAACTTGTGCTCCAAAGGGTGATGGGAGTCAAACTGCAAAGACTGGTCTGTGTGGGTGGATTTGCGGTAAACCTCGGTTTGCAAATGTCCTCTATCAGAGACTGAGACCTCACAGTCCAAGAAAGCCAACTTGCCATTTTTGAGCATGCATCAGGATAAAGTTGCCTTGACTTGACGCGACCATAAAAGCGCGCTCCCGCCAGTGCTCCTTCATCGTGAACGCGCTGAGAGAAGGCGTGGATTAAGGTGGAGCGTTAAACGGAAGGGGACGTACAGGAAAAGAAAAAGGCCGCACGACATACACGTCACTGCCTGGGGGTGGGGGGAAGCTGAAGACATTGGCTAATGTTGTTTAATTCCCACAATTATTTATTCGTCTCTGTTCCCGTTTGTGACCGCGAAGCTATCGCAGTTTGAAGTGAACTTCCTCTCAGTCGTCGCGTCAGCCGTGAGCGCCCCTCGCTGTCACACAGTCACTGAACTTCCCGTCAAGACGCAGCGTCGCCAAGAGCTGCTGCTGCTGCTGGTGGTGACTCAAAAAAAAAAAAAGGGGGGGAACGACATCGTGGGTTGTCAAGACGAGAGGACACATTCGAGTCCACGCGACGTCTGGACGGAGAAAGGGTGCCATTGTCCTCCAGCTGAGTGTGAGCAGAGACGGTCCTGCTCAGGGCTCCCTCCCCGCGCAGGCTGTGAGTCAGTGGGCTTGTTGGAGACACTACCTGGACATTTACTTCGTTTTTATTCCACCGATGGGATCCTTTAGTAAATAGCCTCCGTTACCTTCTACCCCGCGTCGGACCGTGGCTCGGATTCGCCTCTCGGACGCTGTCCTCGCAGGGGGCTACGGGATCACCACAGCCCGGTGAAGCTAACTCTCCAGGCGGTGGTTCGGTCTCTCTGACCCCTGCCCTGCCTCGCCTGCCTCCCCGTCGCTCTGGCCGACCTTAACCGACTCGGAACGTCATGGCAGGGAACCTAAAGAAAGGCGGAGGGATCATAGGAATGATGAAGGATGCCTTCCAGCCACACCATCACCACCTCCACTCCCATCACCAGCCGGGGGTCGTGGACAAGAAGACGGTGGAGAAATGTTGGAAACTGATGGACAAGGTTTGTCACATTCAGCAGCTAACCTTCCTTTCGCATTTGGTGTCCAGGGTTACTCGTGGCTGCTTGTAGCTAACTAGCAAAGAGCTAGCTAATCATCGTTACAAGTCTGTTGTTGCTACAGTTAGCTAGTCAGCTGGGAGAAGACATGCGTAGCTAATTTTAAAAATTAACTTTATTATTTATCTTTATATGTGCCAACCTTTTTGGGAAGGGTTTTTTAAACTTGCTTAGCTTTTATATTTGTCCAAAGACAAGAAACACTCCGCTTTATATTGCTTTGTTTGCAAGTGCAAGCTAACGCGCAGCTAATAATCAGCCAGTTAGCTTCCGATTAGACGGACAGATAAAGGGCTATTCCGCAGCTTTTTTTAGCATCTGGACTACATCACATCAGCTCTGGATCAACATTTACACAACTTTGTAGTTAATTCTTGTACCACATCAAGTCCAGGTTCTTTAAAATACTTTAAAAACCTGCATTTTATTTAAACTGTAACTAGTGTAGGATAATCAAGTCTATGTTTGACTTGTTTTGAACCCTCAGACCTGAGGAGTTTCACGTTAAAAAAAAATAAAATACAAGTTTTCTTTTTTAAATGTCCATAACTATAGTGTGTCCCAGATCTTAAGCAGTGTTCTCCTTGACCATGTGAGCAGCTGGTTTTGGCTCTCAGCAGCAAACTGGTTGATCCACTACGAGAAGGTGCTATTTATAAGACTGAGCTGAATGCAGCGCCTCAGACTGAATAAGTCCTTCGGATGAAAGACGAAACGTTTCTACTTTTTTTAGTTTGTTTTGTTTTTTGAATGTCCGGAAGACCAGACTTAACTGGATTATTGAGCATGCATCAGGATATTTAAGCAGTGTTGTTAGGAATCGGTTTCAGATAAGACAATCCAGACCAAATTTGACATGCCTAAGGTAATATTTTACACTGGATCTGATGTCATGTGGTACAGATGTTGAAAATGTAGCGAGTCAAATCAAAAGATTCACTTGGCGATAGCTGGAGTGTGAATCTAGATAGTTGCTGCCTTTTATGTCTGACTGTTCAAAAAAAATTTAAGGGTTTCATAAACTTTTTCATTTGTGGTAAAGGTGGTGTGTGCTTAGTTATAACGTAAAATAATCTTCTATCGCAAGTTTTGGTATTAATTGATTTTGATGTTTACATTATCAAGTCTGTTACGTTGATGGTGTGAAGTCTAAACCAGTCGGCTAGATTTCAAAAACCTTAACAAATTGCTGAGAATAACAAAATGTGCCTGTGTAACTGGGACAATTGTGCTCTTTCACGAGGAAGACTCGTCTCACAACTTTACTTCTCGGAAAAAAGTCAGAAGCAGTTCGACCCCCAGTTTCCTGTGAGATTTTTAACAGCACATTTAGTGTCTCTTATTTGAAACAGTCGTTTTGAGCTGTGATAAGAGAATCGCCTTTGCAAAGGCAAAAAAAAAGGAAACCACATTCAGCTTTATTTTTTGCTCGATATGTGGTTGACTTTATTAAGACAGGAGTGACAGAAACGTCACGCTTCCTCAGTTTTATTTTAAATTACTTTTAAGCATTATCTATAGAAACATCTAAACTTAAAAGTTTTTAACAGTTCTTCCTGGATGAAAAGACTTACCGTACTTTTTTAAAAATGAATATAAGAGCAAATGTTCTGAAGTTCAACCAGAGCACGATGTGCATGAACTTCAAAACTGGTGCATTTCCTTTTGAAAGCACCACTTTGTGCAGGACTGTGTTGAATTTAGGCAAAGCTCAGAGACTAACTCTCTAAAACTGCTCACAGTTTGTGTTTTTAAGTGTCCATTTATGATAAATTATTGGATCAGATAGACCAATTAATTGGCAATATGGGAAATATCATCATCGAATACTAGCTGTAGCAGTGTTCTAAGCTGCTGATTATCCATGCTGCTGATCTTGTGCTGCTGTATTTATTCATGCCCATCTGCTCACCACAGACTCATGTTGGGGCTGCTGTTGATAGGCCGTATTGTTATACATTATTAGTGTTTAGCATATATCTTGGATCTTTTAGCATACCGTTTGGCATTCGTTTAGTGTATATCTTGGATCCTTATATACTGTTTCTTTATACACTTTATATTTTTGCTATTTGTGGGTGAAACTGGGACCTTGAGTACATAATTTTGTTCCACCTCATGTACCACATGTGATGTGAATGACAATAAACTTGACTTGAACTAGACCTAAATGTTCTTCAATTCGAGATGCCTTTTGTTCTTGAAACTGAGAAAACCCTGACATTACCTTGTCTGTGCATGGCTGACATTTTGAGATGTGGAAGTTGCGCTGCGTATCAAAACTAACGACCAAAAATATTCACGAAGCGAGACATACTAACAGTAACGTTTAAAATGTCAAATGATTAAAGACTTGCACAGAAGTTGGTCAGTTTCATCAAACTGGATTAATTTTTAATTTTCATCTAAAATGTGTGTTTTCATTTTGACAGTTTATTGACATACTTTGAGCAAACATACTGAATTTTAAAGTTGACAAAATTGACAACTTTTCAACCCCCCTTTTAAACATCAATTTAAGCCATAAGCAACAGAAAGCAGCACAAACACCTCTGTGGTCTGCATTGATATAATTATCCTAATGCAATGTACACTTCAAATTTAGGAACAGTTAATCAAACTTGTGGTGACTGAGAACCCATTTGTAACAAGAAGCAGCTCTGCAGCTGGCAGGCCTGTGAATGCAGCAGTGTCGTAACATAATCATGTATAAAATACAGTACTCCCTCACCTATAACGGGGGTTACCTTCCGCACACCCCTGCGATAGGTGAAAAGCCATGAAGTAGGGACGTTATATTTATTTTGGTATTTATATGTATTTTAAGGCTTTATAAATGCAGATCTCTTCATTCAAGTGTTGAACACAGTTATGGGGAGTTTCAGACGCTGCTTGTTCTTCACTAAAAGAGCACAGCGAAAGAGAGAAGACAGACTGATGCTACAGTTACTGAGCCAATCAGCTCCTGGGATACAGAGCACAATGCTCTGGTTGGTTGCCTTACATTAATCAGTCAATCATGTGTTGTGTACAATCTTACATTGAAAAACCCGAAACAGTGAGTCTGCGAAAGTCAAACCGTGTAGTTGTGAGGGACTACTGTAAATGTTTCTGTTTATAACTAAATCCATCCAGTATCTTTTACCCGCTTCTTCCATTTTGGGTCATTGGGGTCACCAGTGCCCATGTCCAGCAATCACTGTACAAGGGGCGGTGTACACCCTGGACAAGTCTGCAGTCCATCACAAGGACACATAGGGACAAACGAGACAAACAACCATTCACTCTTGTAGTGAACTAAGCCTCAGGTCAAAATCTGGCCCCGAGGGCCTTCCTGGGACAAGAACTGTTATTTCATTGATTTGAGTCCAGAAACACAAATTAAGTTCATCCAGAGACTTTCTAATTGTATCCTGCACTGATCAATTGAAAGAACACTCTCTTTTTTATTATCATTACTATTTTACAATATCTTGATAATCAAAAGTGTGTTTAGTTCAAACCATTTTAAATGTTGAAGTGAACTACTCATTTTAAATCAACTGTGAAACAGAATAAATTATTTTTAATCCTCATTCAAAGTAGAAATCAAGTTAATGTCTGTTACAAGAGTAATGATGCATTTTTGATTCTCTGTCTGAAATGAGCAAGTTGTAAGTCGGTCAAAAGTGAAGGAACAGTCAAAAACATATTTATTGGAAAGAAATGTCATGTTTAACTTTTTCAGATAGATAGAAGAGGACTGGCTCCAAAATGTCTCTGTTCTTCAAAACATTTTTCTATCTGTTCTTAACAATCTACTCTGTCTCCTTGACTTTTAATGACCCTCTTACATCACTAAAACCACACCCCTGTTGGTTCGTTTCAACCAATCAGGAAGTTCTCAGAGGAACGGGAACTGACCTCTTTAAAAGGGTCAACACGTCCTAGTTCCAAGCAGAACGCAGAACAACGGGAACTACGCAGAACAAAGTTCCAGAAGGAAGAACAAAGTTCCGAGTCTCGTGGGGATTATGGAATCTTCCACATCTGAGTGGAACCTCTGACGGACTCACAGCTCATGTGAGTCCACCCGTGAGGTGAGCGTGGTGTTGAACGAAGTACCGTCACTACTTCGGACGATTCTCTGCTATCCTACGGAGACGCTGGAAAGGTAGCGTTAAATGGAACTCCGTACCAGTGGAGACATCTTCTACAAGGTAACGAGTCCCTCACTACCTAAGTGTACCGAGGTGGAGCTGGGTTCGGATGGAGGGTGCCGTTCTTCGTCGACACATTTTCCCTCACACATCTTTTCTCTCCATTTAAACTCCCTCATTTCCCATCTTTAAAACTCCTTGCCAGTAAATCATCCAGATATTTTCAGAAATGTCTGTTGTAAAGCTGCAAGTGATACCATGGCCGTATGGTTCTCATTGTAAAGCAAGTTAATTAAGCTGTTATTGTAATCAATCTGCCAATTATTGTAAATGTGTGATGTGTTTTAAATCGTTTTTAATTAAACGGCTCACTGTTGTTGGTGAGTCAGAAATTAAAACACGTTTCCGTCCACATTTAATCATTCAATGCACGATAGTACTCAGTCCAGAAAAATGAAAGAATCCGTTTAAATTATGCATAATATCTGACGGGTATTATGCTCATTACACTCTCACACCTAGGGACAATTTAGAGTTACCAATCAGTCTAACATGCATGTTTTTGGTCTGTGGGAGGAAACCAGAGTACCTGGAGAAAACCACATGCACAGAGAGAACATGCAAACTCCACCCAGAAGGCCCCTGGACCGGGATTTGAACTGTCAGCCTTCTTGCTGCGAGGCAGCAGCTCTACCAGTTGTGCCACCATGCTGCCCTTTTGACTAAATATTAAACCATTATAAATCTCTATTTTCAATTGATCAGCAAAGTGTACAAGGAATTTAAATGCCAAGGAATTATACAAAGATCTTTATTTCTGAAGTTTGTCAAGTTTTTGTTTTTTTGCCTAAATTAGCAGCAAAACCAAAATGTGCCATGTTGACAAGGTCTTCCAAGGGGTAGAGGTAGGGCAGCCAACTCGGGATCTGAAAGTCCCAGGTTCAATCCTCAGCCATTCACACATCGTGGTGTCCCAGAGCACGACACCCAATCCCTAATTGCTCCCCAGCTGCCCACTGCTCCACCTGGGTGTATCCCAGGAACGATGGGATAAATGCAGAGAACCAATTTCACCATTGAATGGGAACATACAATGATGACACATAGCACTTTACTTGAAACAGAGATTCTATTATCAGATAACTTCCTGTTTAAATAAATAATAAAGAAATAGTTTGCTAATGAAATAAAATGATATAATATGTTTGTGTTTTGGCCCTGTGATGGACTTGCGGCCCGTCCAGGGTGTACCCCACCCCTCGCACAGTGATTGCTGGACATGGGCACCAGCAACCCCCTGACCCAAAATGGAATAAGCGGGTAAAGATAATGGATGGATGGATGTTTGTGTTTTCCCCAGATTGTTCTGTATTGTTCGTATAGTGAACTGAACTACTCAGTGTCTTAACTACTCTATGAAATCCAGCCGATTACCACTGATTATGCTTGCCACCAGATAGGACTATTTGCCAAGGTTACGTTTCTCACAGCATCTTCTGCCAGACTCGCACTAGCAGTGAGCACTCAGTCAAACACACGTTATTGCATGCCCATGTACGAAGCCACAACATCTGAGCACTCCCATCTGTCAGCTTGTGTTAAAGCTTCTGTCTTGAAGTGAAAGCTCAGTACCCTCCAAGCTACACTGCATTCCTCCCCTGCACTTTTTAACTCTCAATCCAAGTCTTTCAAAGATGATTCTCTTCCTCGCACAGACATGTTGCGCTTGGTGTTTAAAGGGTAATCAGCTGAAAGAAATATTGGCTTTGTAGGAACTTTTCAGATGTAGACTAAAAGAAAGCCTCTCTTGTCTTCATACGGAAGTATATTTTGTCTTCGTTAGCAAAAAGATGCAGCTGTTTGTTCATTCCCCTGATGTTTTCATTTCCTCTAAATAAATACGGACAAATTTATGTATTCTCAAATTTGTAATTTGTGTTTATGCACAGAAAAGTCAAACTAAACAATGAAATGTATGTTTTCATATAACTGGTAATACCACACTTGTTGAGGTACTGTAACTTGTAGGCTACCTGAGCATGCATCAGGATATGTAACTTGTACAGTTCATTTCAGTTTTTTTATCTAGCACCAAGTCACATCAGAAGTCATCTCATGCACTGAACAGAAACATTCATATAAATATAAGTTAATAACCCAAGAATGGTCAGTCAGGTCACCTGGACAGTTTTTTTCTTTTTTTTTTTGTGCTGAAACATTTCACCTTCCATCCAGAAGGCTTCATCAGTCAAGGAAACACACAAAACTGATTCTTCCCCCAACAGCTTACTTCAAAGTGGAACAAACCAGTTCTGTTGGTGCTAAGATGGAAAAAGAAACTGTCCAGATGACCTGACTGAAAATTGTTGGACTGTATACCTGGATTATTGAGCATGGACTTTGTTGGTTATATTTGACAAGTTTATTCAGAATAATGAATACTTAATAAACTGGAGTCAGATGACAGTGAAATAGCGGAGATATTAACAGAAACAATTAATTTAGCTGTAGCACCCATAAATTGAGTTTACCCCAAAAGTTAATCAGTTGTAGTTCTACATCAAATTATTACTTCTGGATTAGTCATGAAGATTAGTTCAGTAGCGCACATGATATTTTGGTAACAGACACAAACATACTGATACAGGCAGCAGCTAGGTATTCAGTGGTGGGTCCCTCTTTGAGTTTTTTGCTTTAGTCTCATTGTCCCGCAACAATTTATTTCTCATAAGAGGCAGCATAATCCAGAACATCATTCTTGTAATTCTGTTCATGCTGTATTTCTTTCAAACACTCTTGCATGACCGGTAGACAATAATTGCACAAAGAATGAGCCATGTCCTGTTTCTGATACGTAACTGTTTGCTACTGAATCAGACTGTCTAGCTCGCGCTGCACTCAGGTTTAAATTGGAACGTGAGAGCCTTAGTGGGGTTTTTTGTTGTTGATTTTTTTTTTTTTGTGAGCATGCTCATTGGTTAAAAATGACTGCAGCCGTGTTCGTACAGAACTGCATGACAGTGGGCAGTCCAGGCTTTTTGCCAGCGTCTTTTGTAATGGTCAACGAAGTGACTCAGTCACAGTGCAGCTGTACAGTGAGATGAGTGGTGAAAGGTTGAACATTACTGAAGACTGTCTTTCTCTCAAGCAAGGAGTTGCTTCCATCTGCTGTGGCCCAACAGTAGGGGTTCAAATAAATAATTTATAAAGCCATCTACCAATTTGTGTTCACCTTTTACAGCTCTGTTGAGTTGTGTGTGCTTGTGAAGTACTCGAAGCGCACACTCCCGTTTTCAGGACAACAGCCTGTGCTTCCGCTGTTCAAATTTGCATGATAATCATATTCAAATGTTAAGTACAGAGAATTGGTGTTTCAGAGACAGAAGTGACAGAGGGTGTGCAGACTGAAATGGGAAAGTGTAAACACGGCGACAGCCTCTCCAAACATGCTCAAGGGCCAAACCGTGCAGGGACCCGCATAATGAGTATTGTTCGGGTAGTCTTCTAAAACTGTGCAAGTCTTTTATTGTTTGTGAGAAAAAGTAGAAAACGAAGCAAAGATGCTCTCCCGATGAGAACCAAAAGTCTGCATTGATAAGTGTGCATGCGTCATGGACTTCTTTTTTTTCTGTCCACCTGTGTAATAAATATTGAAATAAGTCGGTATGAAAAAGAATCCTTTGCTTTTTAAATTTGTGTATTTCGTTAAATAATGCATAGGCTTATGAAATGCTGGTAATACCGAGTTTTTAGAGGTTTTTTTCCTCCATCAGTTTTTCTTATTATTTTGCGTGTTTGTGCTCACAGGATGTAGTTTAGTGCCTCATTCTCACATAGAGCTGTTTTAAAGAAAGATCTGTTTCTGTCATTCGTACAGAAACCATTTCTGGTGTGCAGGCTGAAGATACTTTATAATCCTCTGACAGTTTCCCTCTTTCAACTGTTCTTCTCAATACTTTACCAACTTGCCTCTTTTCTTTCTCATACTTCTAAACCAGTTTCTTTATCTTTTAACCTTGTCTTGCCCTCCATCCTACTGTTCTGCAGGTGGTGCGGCTGTGCCAAAACCCCAAACTGGCTCTGAAAAACAGCCCCCCTTACATCCTTGACTTGCTGCCAGACACCTACCAGCACCTGCGCACCATATTGTCTCGCTACGAGGGCAAAATGGAGACTCTGGGGGACAACGAGTACTTCCGGGTCTTCATGGAGAACCTAATGAAGAAGACCAAGCAGACCATCAGCTTGTTCAAAGAGGGCAAGGAGCGCATGTACGAGGAGAATTCACAACCCAGGTCTGTAAAGTGGATAAAAAGTGATGGTAAATGTTTCGTAAGAGCTACCAGCCCTTTAAAATGGGGTGAACTTGATGTTTGAAGCCTTTAGCAGTTCATTTTAAACAAGTTCAGCTGCACAGACGTGGTGTGAAAAGTGGCATCCATCTCAAGCCCCATGGGTGGTTGCACCTCAAGATGCATGAAAACAAAGAGAGATATGTTGTGGTTTGAGCATGTGAGCGTATGTGGTGAGAATGTTGCTCACTCTACAGCTGCCTGCTGTCGCTTTGCTTTGTGTGCCTCTCTATCTTTACCATCTACTCAACTGTTCTATAGCTGCTACTTTTGCTACCTCTTTGATATGTTACAGAGGCCTGCTGGGAAATATAAGATCACTTTTTATGCTGAAAAGAACTAGTTGTCTTTTGTGTCTGTTTTTAAGAGACTGTGAGTGGATGTTGAAATAGTTTGACAGATTATTAACAAAGAGCAGAAGTAGGTAGAAAACCAAAACTTCAACTTTTTGTGGATCAAGGCTAGAAGTGTGTTCTTTGAACGAGCCACTGGCTGTAACACACTATGGGTCCTGTGATATTTGGGGAAGTTAAAGGGGTTAAAGGTTTATTGCATTTTACACTCTGCAACTTCTGTCGAAACGATTTTCACGCCTTGTTGTGTGTTGTACTTCAGTAAAAATGTTTAATTATTGTCTAATGGTAAACAAAAAAGATTATCTTGTTCTGCTGATGATCAAGGCTCTAAATACGGACCACATTGCATATTTTTGAAAGAGTTACGGCTACTATATATTGAAAATGTTATATTACAATATTAAAATGTGCAATTTCCAAAGGGCTTCTTGGATTGCAATACATCGTGGCTAATGTAATTTATGTTCTGCGCCTAGTAAAATATGACTAATTAAATGGACTCACTACCTTTGCCCACACCTACTGGTAATTACTGTAGAATAATTGTTTTGTTTGCATGTACGCTGTTTGGTTTCTTTGTAATGTTAGTAAAATATTTCATTAACCAGTGGCTAAGACTCTTAGGTCAACATTTTGTGACTTAACTCCACAACTTATTTTGGAATTGATCCAAATCAAGTGGGCTGCCACAGCTTTGCTATAACTCAAGTAATTCACAAGTAATCGCACAGTATTGCATGAGTTTGTTCATATCCCCATTTAGAAGGTTTGACCAAAGTGGCTATTTTGCAACTTCCTTTCTCACCCTAGATCATCTCTATATAAACATCTGGCACGAACGGTGGCAAGCAATTTATGTTCCTTTAAAAAATACTAGGGCTTTAAGTTGATGATTGCAACTGAGGCACTAAAGCACACGGAAATGGTCAAGCTTCAATACTACTGAACAGAAAGAAAGAAGTGAGGGAAATGCAAATTTATCACCATTAATTTAATATGTTGTGTTTTTCAATGTCAATATCACAATCATATCATTGTCTTATATTGTGCAACCCTACTAAAAGTCAATAAACTGAGCAGAGACATAATATGAATGTTATTCACAAAAGAAGCTAACTGTTGCATACTTTTATACACTCCTTGATTTTAGTGATATGACAAAATAGCCGTAGACCTCAGTTTACTGCAAAATCTGCAACAGAGTTATCAATGGTTTACTGTTTTTCCCCGTTTAAACAACATGTTCTCTTGATTCAGGGAATGCCTTTCGTTAAAGCAACGCTTTTTAAATCGGTCTGCTGCGTCTGAAGATGGCTTTTTATCGCAATTAGTTCAATCTAACATGACCTTAAATTGATCCAAATTCACTTACATTCTCTGATTTTGGCACACTTGACTGATTCCTACATAAGTTCACAGAACCTACTGTAATTATTAAACAGTTTTTTCAAAGGTTATGGTCTTATCTAACTACCGTAGTTCAGAGATGCATCCTCATCTTGTTCCCCAGTTCCCCTTTGAATGTGTTATTTCTCAGCTGTCATGACCATAATCTTGTAGACAGAAAAGAAACCCCATAAAGGCAACTGAAGAGGAGGGAGGGCTCTAATTTCAGTCCCTCCTGTGTTTTTATTGCAAGAAGATTGTCGTTTTTAGCCACTGCAACAAGTTGTTGGTGTGAACATAATTTTGATCAGCACTTTATTCTTACCAAGAGGCTGTACAGACAAAAAAATTTTGCTTGAAGCTGAAGGAAACGCACATGCACAGAAGCCAGGCGTTCCACACAAAGACTGCTATTGTCTGAAGGAAGAAGGCAGTGGCTGTGACACTAACCAATGAGTATCGGCCAACTTAAGAATGCTACAGAATTGACCAATAATGTTGAGATGCCAGAGAGAGACTGCGTGGTCAGTCTGCAGGAAAGCTTACAAATGGCTTAAACTCAAACTTTTAAGGATAATCCGAATTCTAATCTACAGAAAGAATGTTTGAGTCCGTTCATTCTTTAGGTTAACTGTGGAAACTTGTTCTGCAATTTCATTTGACATCAGTCCTCAATAGTTAATTGAATGTCCCCAGTTGACGGTTTGTGTGAAAGATCTGTTTAATTTTTATTTGCTGAATGCAGCATGTGTTGGCATTCTGTTGTGACGCTTGTAAAGTTCAGCAATTTCTTCTCCAGAGATTAGACCCACTATTTATCTAGACCCCCTTCACTCTCTTGAGTCACACAGCTTATTTGGCTTCAGAAATAAAGTACAGTCGAGGTGGTATATAATAGGCTTGGGTTTGGTGTTTGTTAAACACTCACATTATTGGCTTTAGTAGCAAAGTTGCCGAGCTCAGAGATTTAAGGTCTTTACAGAGAACAAGAGAGGTTTCATTATTCACACTAGGAAAAAAGTGAGAAGAAAAGGGAGTCTGCTGAGTGCAAAACGTAATTATTAACACATACCTCCCATATACAGTCAGAATCAACAGGACACAGTCAGCACTTCCTCCTTTTTAGCTTCACTTACTTCCTCTTTGACCCTTGCACAGCACAGCATACATGTTTTGTTTTTCTGAGCCGAGGGGAAAAAAAACATAATGTTTTTATTCAGTTTTTGCTTTCCACCAATAGGTAACGTTACTTTGACTGATATAAAGAAGAAATAAGTTGTCACCTGAACTAAAATCGATCACATCTATACTTGTAGGATAATCAGCTAGAACAACTGGTTTGTAACACATTTAAAGACGTTTCAAAAAGCTGAAGTCCAGGTAAATCCTAAAGCTTTTTTTGGCCTTTATAATCTCTTTGATCTTCCTCTTAAGCCACTCTGCCACTGCATCCTGACTCAGGCTGATGGATCCTGCTGGTTGTACAGGAAGTGGTGAGCTCATGAGCTGCAGGGTGATGCAGCTGCACAGCGTGACAGACTACTCTGCACAAAGTGGTACATATGAAGGCTAAAATGTGTTGCAAATGTTTTGTGGTCCAGAGTGTGGCCTGAACATCTTGGATGTGTTGGAGTTTTGGAGTTTCCTTAGAAAATTCTCATCTGCAAGGCCACAATTTTTTCCTATACAAAAATAAAAGCGAAACAAATGCGTCAGTTTTTGTCATGTTATTATCAGACAGTCTGACAGTCAATTTTTTATTTATTTTCTTCCTACTGCTCCCTTCCTCAGGGAAGCCGCAGTGAACTAACTCGCTACCGCAGCCTTCTGTGTGGAGCAGAGTGCCACCATCTTGGGCCCCCGAGGAGCAGATGGTGGGGATTAAGGGCCTTGCTCAAGGGCCCAGAGTGAGGCAATCAAAGGTGGAGGCAGGTGCGAGTGCTTCACCTTTCCCACCCACATTTTAATGTTGATGGTCCGGTGAGTCGAACCGGCGACCTTCCAATCACAGGTCCACTTTCTCTAACCTCTGCACCACCACTCCCCTTATACATGTTTAAAACGTTTAAAAATTAAAAACTAAAGACCTAGCATTGGTTGGAGGCACTGTTTATTGTTTCAATGCCTTGAGTTTTTAGCTAAGATTATCTTATATATAGAAATGACAAAGCTGAATCTGTTTTGGTCAAATCTTGAAAATACTGTTTGTGTTGTCATCATTCTTTGTTGAAATCAGGTCTCTCTTGTAAATGAGTCCTCAAGGCTCAATGGGATTAACCTGTATAAATAAAGGTTGAATGAACTGCTTTGCACACACCAGATCATGGCAGGTGCGAGTCATGACATGTCATGTTATCATGACATGCCATCCTCAAAGTAAAAGTGTTGAGAGTGACTCCGCTACTACCACATCAAGTTTTAGCTCAATATTTGTAAAACCAACTGAGTCATAGCATTTTGTGTTAGCAATAGCTAATAGAGGTGTAACAATACATCGATTTAAAGCGATATATCGATTAAATGATTCATTTATATTGTGGCAAAATTAAAACGTTGATTCATATCGTCATCTTTAAAATACGCTTTTATTTTGAAATTCCCAAGGAACATCTTTGTCACCATTTCCGTGCGCTCTGCGGCCTCCTCAGCAACATGACAGACAAGGCAGAAAACACAGATAATGAAATTCACTCTCCTGCTGGATTTAAATCAACACTGGAAATATTTTGGGTTCCAACAGAAGGACGTCTCAACAGACAGAACTCATGCTGTATGCAACAGGTGCCAGTGTGAGTTAAAATACTCGGGGAAACAACTAATTTGGTCGTTCACCTGAAGAAGAAACACGGCATTGATAGCCATGTTATGTAAGCTCAATATCTATTTTTGTTTCTTTATAACTGAAAGGTAATCAGGATACTTTTATGTTAACTGGTTTAAAAATGCACTCAAACATGAGAAATGTGAGACTATACTGAACAGGTCGTTTATTTTTATTTTTTCATTAATTAAAAAAAATGTTTGTTTGTTTTTTTAAGTGCCTGTAATAACAGAAATAAAATGGTTAAATCATATTTGAATTGTTTTTGTAAATGTATTTATATGTAAATGAGATGGCCATTTGATATCGCAATATATCGATCGCAGACTTGTGAATCGAATAGAATCAAAATCGTATCGTGACAGAATGTGATAACGAGA